CCCCCCCCCCGCGCTGCCCGCCCTGGCCCGCGGGAGCTGCGGCGACAGGGGACGTGGGGCAGAAAAAATCCCGGGAGGCACCTGATGAGTGCCCATCGGCCGCAGAAGCAACTGTCCGGGGCTGTCGCTGCAGCCGTCCCAGGTGCAGGCGGCTTGTGTGGGGCCTGTCAGTCCCCGGCTGGTGGCGTTGTCGAGGAGCCAGAGACTGTCCCAAGCAACCCTGGCCGGCTGCCTCGGCGAAGTTGGGCTTGTTAAAAAAAAGAAAAATGACGGTGGGGATGTTGGAGCGTGCCCAGGGAGGGTCTCTGGGCTGGGTCGGGCATCGTATGTAGCGCGCTCCCCGTGCCCACTGTGGGGTAGTGACCAGTACAAGCGGGGCCTGGTACAGTGAGCGCTGCCTCTGGCCCAAGGGGCCTGTGCGGGGTGTGCCCTGTATGTGGCGCTCCACCGGACCAGCCTTTTGTGTTCGCTGCAAGGCCAGCCAGGCTGGCAGTGCACACTGGAACTGACACACAGGGCAGTCTGGCGGGTCCTGCTGCATTCATCGCCCCACCAGACAGCCTTGAGCACAGGCATAACGTGCAGCTTGCGGCCAAGACAGATCACCCCATGCCACGATCAGCATCCACAGTACTGGGTGCAGCCTGCACACCAGACCAGCTCCACATGCAGCATGAAGGGCCAATCTGAGACCCACAGGCCAGATCCTGCCTGCAGGCCATATGTTTACCACCCTGACTTTTGGCATCCACTACTTGCCTTTTTGAGTGGTATGGTGTCATCGCGTAGTCCAGCCGTTCTGAACCTTTTTCATTCGATGTACCCCTTGGTCTCAGAGTGAAACTCCATGTACACCCTTTCAATGGGAAATTAATTTTTCACCCTGTGTTAGACAGTTTATGAAATATATCTCACGTACCCCCAATGAGGTTTCACATAATCTCTGGGGGTACATGTACCCCCAGTTCAGAACTGCTGACCTAGTCATTATGGGCGTATGTACACATGCTTGCACCACGCTGGTACTGCAGCATGTGCATTTGTATAAATGGCAAAACGTGCATCAGTGCTGGGAAAATGGTGATGGTGCACCTTTGAACTAAAACCCATCAAAAATGTTCTAGTTCAAAAGCACGCCGCTCCCACTTTTTCCGCACTGACATGCATGTGATGCAGTACTGTGCGTGTCAGTTCACATGTGAAGCAGAAATAGTGTACTTCAACGTGCTGGATCTCTTGCGCTTCACAACGCAAAAAAGTATGGTATAAATGCCTTACCAGTTGAAGTTTCCCAGCAGCCTCATTTTCAGTCTTGTAAAACTAAAATACTCCTGACGCTTGACCATTCATTCCACTTATTTTTTTCCCCAAGGATTTTAGAAGATGGCCAAATTTGTGACACCCGTGATTCAGGACAACCCCTCGGGTTGGGGTCCATGTGCTGTGCCTGAACAGTTCCGAGATATGCCGTATCAGCCCTTCAGCAAAGGAGATCGTCTGGGAAAGGTACTGCAGCTTATGCTGTCAAGTTGAGCCAGTGAAGCAGTCAGTTAAGGCAGTTCTTTCCTGATGCCATTCTAATCCTTGTCTGTGCCGTGCACTTTTCCATATAA